ATATAGCTTCCTGTAGAACAATTTTTAAAATACTGATATTTTGAACAATATGAAAAAAGGAAGGTTACTGATGTTAAATATTATGATCATGCTAAGTGGTAGAAGCTGACTATACACTCTCTGTAAACCTTGCTTCAGACACAGAAACTTTACACTGTAGGTGTCTATTACTCCCAACTTCCAAACAAATCTGCTAATTATTACAAGTCAACTCAACCATGACACTCTATGGCTGGAATGGCACAGTTCTAAGCGAGCTCATCCTGATTTCTCTTAACAACCCTCTCATACGGTAAAGAACTTCAAAGCTTTTCTTTCTTATAAATGCTAACGATTTTTCTACATCAGTATATTTTTTAAAATTCATTTCTAATGAAACAAAGATATATATAACTATGAATTTCACCAACTAAAATATGAAATATTACTGCTTCTAATTGCATGCTTTATAACATAACCCTGTCCATCCTCACCCGATGAGTGATTCTGGCTCATCCTATCCTGCTGTAACACCTTCTATCTCAACATATCTTAACTATTATAAGAAGAGGCCTAGCTGCCTTAGTCACCTGATGTATTCAATATTGAACATAAATGTTACAGGGTTTGTAAATTTCAAGTGTAACAAAAAAGAAAATTATGACATTGAAAATAGCAAAGTTTTAAGCCCATGGGGGTCGGCGAGTGTCATATATGAATACCATCAATACTGTTGTCTTATACTAATAATTCTTTCCAAGTTATTTCAAATTGAGAAATGAAAAACACGCTCAAAAATGCAAGTTTCCTATCAAAACTATGGTAAACTTCACTCCCTCCCAAGGGGATAGAGTAAGACCTTTGAGTCATGAAATTAACAATTTTGTAAAGCTCCTTAAGATCCTTTAAACTATGAAGAACAATTGATTCTACCGTATTTGGTATTTTGAGGTTGTGAGGAACAGATGAATGCAGTGACCTAACAATTAAAGTCAGAGATAGGAACAGATGAATGCATTCTGATTTGAATGGATAATCAGAAAGCAACGGACATTAATTGAGTGTTGAAGTACTCAAATCGTCTGAATGATTCACAATGGATTAAAGATGGAACAACAACAAAACACGAGTGGAACCGACACAGATCTAACCATTAACACATCATCAGTTTGACAGACTTTAAACAGTGGACTGTATGACGATTGTCCATTTTCTCAGAGATAAAGATCCCTTTATTAAAAAGGTTTAGGTAACAGGGTCAATTAAAAAAAGAATTGTTCTTAGATAATTTAATTTACATCTAAAATTCTTAACATTTCAAGATAATAGACCTGGCCCAGCTTCTTCATCCTTATTATCAGTGAGGAGTTGTATGACGTAAATTGCAAAGAAAAAGATGATTTGGCAAATTATATTTCCTCAATGACACACCTCCTTACCAAGATGAAAAAATGAACCAATACACCATATATAAGGTTCCAACAACTAGCAGCATGGGAGATCTAGTCAGAATAAATTTTTTCTGTGATGTAGGTTAAAAGTCAAAATATTGTTTCGAATGACCTACTTTTGATACTTAACACACCAATATCAAACCATATCCAAAGTAGTTCAAGTGACTAGGGCTGTCCGAGATATAGCCCTGACAAACTTAATGTAGGTTAAAGGTCGAAATGTAGGTCAGTGTGACTTATTTTTGATAAACAATGTACACTTTTATGAAGATGAACCCACATTTCAAGTATTTTGTTCATATAAGTAGAACATTGAGCCTGGGTATACTTTTTTATTGATGTAGGTCAAAGGTTAAACTGTAGGTTAAAGTGGCCTACTTTTGATCTGCAACATACAATCTCATAACCCATATCCCAAGTATAAAGTCCTCCTGATTGTTAGTGTAGAAGATAGGGTCTGGATAAGATAGAGGAAGGATAGAAGGATGTACAGACACAGTGCAAAACTTAATCTCTCCAGTTCCCAGTTGGGGTCTAATAAACATATACAAATAAAACTATTGTAGACATCAGTACAGACTGTTCCAACCTAAGTGGAAAAAGCAGGTCATCCCCCCAGAACACTGACATTTTCTTGGCGGGACATTGCCTAACTGGAGACATGTAACCAACCAACATAACCTTTTTATTACTGTTTTTGAAAACAGACAAAAGGCCCAAGGGCCTAAACAATTACCTGAGATCTTACTGATTACCATGTTTCATCAAAATCTGTTCATATTTACTAAAGTTATTATGTTCAGTAAGTCTAATAGTAATGAATCTGCAAAGGGCTATAACTCTGTAAATTATATTCAAATTTTCAAATTCCTTCCAGATCTTATTGATATAAAGCTGCATAAGTTTCATTGAAATCAATTCATAAATACTCAATTTATTGTGTTTCACAGATAAACTGAAGACATGTTAACCTATGGTCAGGTGAGCTAAGTATGAAGTTATAACCCTATGATACCCTGAAGTTATATATCATTACACAACCACAACCCTGATAACTTCAAGTAAGAATAACACAAACTTTTAAAATTTATTTTATCATTCAAATAACTTCCAATTACAGTTTAACAACCTTCAATATTTTCCAATTACATTTTAATGGCCATTTCATAACTTCCAGTTAAAGTTAATGTCCCTTTCATAACTTCCAGACAGAGTTAATGACCCTTTCATAACTTCCAGTTAGAATTAATGGCCCTTTTATAACTTCCAGTTAGAGTTTAACAGCCCTTCCATAACTTTCTGTTGGAGTTAATGACCCTTTCATAACTTCCAGTTAGAATTAATGGCCCTTTTATAACTTCCAGCTAGAGTTAATGGCCCTTTCATAACTTCCAGTTAGAGTTTAACAGCCCTTCCATAACTTTCTGTTGGAGTTAATGACCCTTTCATAACTTCCTGTTAGAGTTAATGACCCTTTCATAACTTCCAGTTAGAATTAATGGCCCTTTTATAACTTCCAGCTGGAGTTAATGGCCCTTTCATAACTTCCAGTTAGAGTTTAACAGCCCTTCCATAACTTTCTGTTAGAGTTAATGACCCTTTCATAACTTCAAGTTACAAATTGTCAACCCTTTGATAACTTCTAATTGTAGTTAATCAACAGTTTCAAAACTGCTAGTCACAGTTTAATAACTTCTTTATTAACTTTCAGATGTAGTTTAACAACCATTTCATAACTTCCTGTTAAATTCAATCACATTTTCATAACCTACAGTAAAATAACCATATCTGCCAGTTACAGTTTAATAATCCTTTCTTTACTCCTAGTTACAGTTTCTTTACACTTCTATGACTTCTACATACAGTTTAACAGCCCTTTCATAACATCCAGTTAACCGTTCAATAACAATTTAATAACTTCAAGTAACAGTTACACAATTCTTTCAGAACTTCTAGTTAGTTACCTAAACTCAACAATATTGAAAATTCGAGTTGCTAATAAATACCAACTTATCACTGCCTTGCTTCTATATGATGTTTGCTTTGGTTCAACCAAAAGGAAGTTGACTGTCAGTATAGCTTCATGTTTCACTACATATGAGCATTACAATCTACTCAATTTTTAATGTTACTATAATACAATTCTGGTAACCAAAGTAATCGATTGACCTCACCGTCAGTCATAACTTTCAGATAAAGTTACACAACATTTCTATTTTTAAGTGACACATCCTTTTACATAAAGTAATAAAGAAAGGATAACCTTGTTGTTACTTCCATGTAAAGTGAAACCTCTTGTTTTCTAAAATTTCGCAATCCTTTAACAACTTTTAGTTAAAATTACACATTCCTCTAGTAACTGGTAGTTAAAATTATAAGCAACTCCTTTGCAACTGCTAGTTATATCAATTTACACATTACTTTCAAAACTGCTAGTTCAAATTAAAAATTCCTTTTACAACTGCTAGTTTAAGTTACACAACCCCAATATAACTATGAAAGTTTAACAACTAAATTCATTTCTTTCAATTAATGTCAAAATTTCCTTATATAGTTACACAGTTCTACCATAACTATTACTGGGGGTTACTGTTACACAATACTGTTATACATACCAGAGTTATAAACTCTATCATAACTGAAGTTTAAGCTGGTGTAGAGAATTAATTCTCCAGATAGTGACCTTTGTTTGACCTTTGACCTATGATACTCCTCCCCCTCTGTTAGCCCAGACATAAGACACATAGAGCACCCATCCATCTTCTAGACACTTTCTAAGATATAGTGCATAAGATTAAGCAGCACTTCAAAGTCCCTCCCAGATAATTGATATTTCTTGTTTGCATTTAGACAAACTACAAACACAAGGGAATTACACATGAACGATCCAATCCCTCCCATCCTTCAACAACAGATCATAGCTTTCCAGGTGTAAATTTATGTATCAGAACTTACAGGTGATATATTTCTGTCAAACTCTTATTGACTCTGTCACTAATCACGCTACTTTTTTATTGGTTTATCATACGCCATACTTCTATAACAGTTTGTGATGTAAGTTGGTTTATCATACAATATATTATGTGATAAATTTTAATGTATATTACTCCATAATGGTTTTTTTTCTAAAACAATTGTGACTAAATATTATCAAAATCAATATAGCAAGGTGTATTTTTTTAGTTCAAATTAGAAAATATGGTACACAAAGCAATATGCATGATCCACACTCCAAACCCTTGAAGTTTCATTCCACTGAAAGTTTGTTATTTGTGTGTACTGTTGAAAGCTATGAAGGCAAAAAAATATGAAAGAGAAAGTGCAACACTGATTTTGAATAAATTTTACAGTTGCTTCCACATGACACCATATGAGAATTTGATGTGCAGTGTTTTGAATGTATCAACAATGTTGTCAAATCTAAAATTAAAATTTCAAATACAGACACAAATTCGCTCACTCAACATCTTTGAATATCGTATATAAACATTGATGAATTGCATCGAAAGGTTTTCCAGACCATTTACAGGTACATACACACTGCTGAATGGGACTGTGTGACCTTACCTGTACAGATGCCCAGAGGCTACTGAAGTCTTCTCTCTGGTGTCTTTCATTCATATTGATGCTGGCATAGCAATCAGGGCTGGAAAAAAGAAAACAGATATTTAGTTTTATAACCAAATCAATAAAATAATCTTTCGCCTAATCTAATGTCAGAAAGGAGAATCTATGAATCTCAGAGGAAAGGTTAAAGTTGTCAAAGTGTCAAGCAACTCAATAATCTTTTCCCAAAGAATGAGATACCCAAATCTTATACTAATTAAGTGAATGTTTTTTTTTTCTCGAACCCTGTTGATGTTATTGGCCTGTTGACATGACATCCAATTAATTCAATTACATCATATAAATGTTACAAACCACACTGGGTAGGGATCAATATATAGAGAATTACTTCTCAATAAAAGGACTTTTTTATGATCAATTATTTAAATATAAGTTTTCCTTCATATTTAATTTGATATCACATTTTTTTAACCTAACAAAGCAGAGGTTACTATTGTGCTGGATATGGATCAATTTAAATTATTTCCTTTTCCTTTATCTTTTCATTAGATTTATTGTGAAACGATATATATTATGAAGTACTGCTATCCAAAAGGTAGTTGATAGGCTTTCATAACAGTGAGAGAATATATTTGCATCTTCAAATCTTCCCATTTCCTGTGACTTATTTCCGCATTATTTCGGCATTTTAATAAGACAACTACCCTTTTCAGTTTAACTAGTTTCATGCTTCATTTATCACATTATGAATGTGTTTTTTTTATTTATTGTTTTGCTCTGTATTGGTAAAGCATTAACGGTACAGAGGTGTGCTATATTGACTCAGCATACTGAATGCTTTGTACCATATCATAGCAACATGAAGACAAAAACACTGAATCTAACAAAAAGTGAATTATAGTAATTTCTACCGCATTGACATTCCTAAAAAAATTAGTTCTGTATGTTGTAATACCTATACTATAACTACTATAAACAAACACAACAGTGTCAACGATGCTGTATTTTAGGGATCTCCCTCAACATATTTGATCAGATTACCTATAAATAAACTGATGTCACTTACAAAAAGAATATACCAGTGATTAGAAATGGCCAATATATATTTATTATTTCTCTGTTGAGCCTCTCTAGTTAACTTTATATTTGCTTTGTTTCAATGTCTCTTCACTGGAAAAACACTTTCATATTTCCATATACAGACAAGACTTCCCAAGTGACGACTTGGAACATTACATAGACAAGATATAGCAGAGACAATCCCAATTATCAGGTTTTATTGTGTAGCTCTATACCATATGATTACATCTCAGTCGGAATCTATTATGTTTCACTGGAGACCATTAGTGCTGTTTACAAATCCATTACATCGATATCCAAGCCCTTTTCACAAGTATTGTACAGGTATATATTACACTGATGTCCAGACTCTATGTACAGGTATATATTACACTGATGTCCAGACTCTATGTACAGGTATATATTACACTGATGTCCAGGACCTATATACAGGTATTTGTTACACTGATGTCCAGACTCTATGTACAGGTATATATAACACTAACGTCCAGACTTTATGTACAGGTATTTATTACACTGATGTCCAGACTCTATGAAAAGGTATATATAACACTGATGTCCAGACTCTATGTACAGGTATATATTACACTGATGTCCAGACTCTCTGTACAGGTATACATAACACTGATGTCCACACTCTATTTACAGGTATATATTACACTGATGTCCAGACTCTATGTACAGGTATATATTACACTGATGTCAAGACTCTATGTCAGGTATATATTACACTGATGTCCAGACTCTATGTACAGGTATATATTACACTGATGTCCAGACTCTCTGTATAGATATATTACACTGATGTCCAGACTCTATGTACAGGTATATATTACACTGATGTCCAGACTCTATGTACAGGTATATATTACACTGATGTCCAGACTCTATGTACAGGTATATATTACACTGATGTCCAGACTCTATGTACAGATATATATTACACTGATGTCCTGACTCTATGTACAGGTATATATTACACTGATGTCCAGACTCTATGTACAGGTATATATTACACTGTGTCAGGTATATATATACACTGATGTCCAGACTCTATGTACAGGTATTACAGGTATATATTACACTGATGTCCAGACTATATACAGGTATATATTACACTGATGTCCAGACTCTATGTACAGGTATATATTACACTGATGTATATATATATATTACACTGATGTCCAGACTCTATGTACAGGTATATATTACACTGATGTCCAGACTCTATGTACAGGTATATATTACATGATGTCCTGACTCTACACTGATGTCCAGACTCTATGTACAGGTATATATTACACTGATGTCCAGACTCTATGTACAGGTATATATTACACTGATGTCCAGACTCTATGTACAGGTATATATTACACTGATGTCCAGACTCTATGTACAGGTATATATTACACTGATGTCCAGACTCTATGTACAGGTATATATTACACTGATGTCCAGACTCTATGTACAGGTATATATTACACTGATGTCCAGACTCTATGTACAGGTATATATTACACTGATGTCCAGACTCTATGTACAGGTATATATAACACTGATGTCCAGACAGGTATATGTACAGGTATAGGTATATATTACACTGATGTATATATTACCAGACTCTATATACAGGTATATATTACACTGATGTCCACTCTATGTACAGGTATATATTACACTGATGTCCAGATGTCCAGACTATGTACAGGTATATATTACACTGATGTCCAGACTCTATGTACAGGTATATATAACACTGATATTACACACTGATGTCCAGACTCTATGTACATGTATATATTACACTGATGTCAAGACTCTATGTCAGGTATATATTACACTGATGTCCAGACTCTATGTCAGGTATATATTACACTGATGTCCAGACTCTATGTACAGGTATATATTACACTGATGTCCAGACTCTATGTATATTACACTGATGTCCAGACTCTATGTACAGGTATATATTACACTGATGTCACTGAGAGACTCTATGTACAGGTATACATAACACTGATATCCAGACTCTATGTACAGATATATATTACACTGATGTCCTGACTCTATGTACAGGTATATATTACACTGATGTCCTGACTCTATGTACAGGTATATATTACACTGATGTCCAGACTCTATGTACAGGTATATATTACACTGATGTCCAGACTCTATGTACAGGTATATATTACACTGATGTCCAGACTCTATGTACAGGTATATATTACACTGATGTCCAGACTCTATGTACAGGTATATATTACACTGATGTCCAGACTCTATGTACAGGTATATATTACACTGATGTCCTGACTCTATGTACAGGTATATATTACACTGATGTCCTGACTCTATGTACAGGTATGTATTACACTGATGTCCAGACTCTATGTACAGGTATATATTACACTGATGTCCAGACTCTATGTACAGGTATATATTACACTGATGTCCAGACTGATGTCCAGACTCTATGATACAGGTATATATATATTACACTGATGTCCAGACTCTATGTACAGGTATATATTACACTGATGTCCAGACTCTATGTACAGGTATATATTACACTGATGTCCAGACTCTATGTACAGGTATATATTACACTGATGTCCAGGACCTATATACAGGTATTTGTTACACTGATGTCCAGACTCTATGTACAGGTATATATTACACTGATGTCCAGACTCTATGTACAGGTATATATTACACTGATGTCCAGACTCTATGTACAGGTATATATTACACTGATGTCCAGACTCTATGTACAGGTATATATTACACTGATGTCCAGACTCTATGTACAGGTATATATGATGTCCACTGTACAGGTATATATTACACTGATGTCCTGACTCTATGTACAGGTATATATTACACTGATGTCCAGACTCTATGTATAGGTATATATTACACTGATGTCCAGACTCTATGTACAGGTATATATTACACTGATGTCCAGACTATATCTATGTACAGGTATATATTACACTGATGTCCAGACTCTATGTACAGGTATATATTACACTGATGTCCAGACTCTATGTACAGGTATATATCACACTGATGTCCAGACTCTATGTACAGGTATATATTACACTGATGTCCAGACTCTATGTACAGGTATATATTACACTGATGTCCAGACTCTATGTACAGGTATATATTACACTGATGTCCAGACTCTATGTACAGGTATATATTACACTGATGTCCAGACTCTATGTACAGGTATATATTACACTGATGTCCAGACTCTATGTACAGGTATATATTACACTGATGTCCAGACTCTATGTACAGGTATATATTACACTGATGTCCAGACTCTATGTACAGGTATATATTACACTGATGTCCAGACTCTATGTACAGGTATATATTACACTGATGTCCAGACTCTATGTACAGGTATATATTACACTGATGTCCAGACTCTATGTACAGGTATATATTACACTGATGTCCAGACTCTATGTACAGGTATATATTACACTGATGTCCAGACTCTATGTACAGGTATACATAACACTGATATCCAGACTCTATGTACAGGTATATATTACACTGATGTCCAGACTCTATGTACAGGTATATATTACACTGATGTCCAGACTCTATGTACAGGTATATATTACACTGATGTCCAGACTCTATGTACAGGTATATATCACACTGATATTCAGGACCTATTAACAGTTTATATACTACATCATGATTGGCTAAACAGTCATTTGATCTGTATACAAAGAGTCCTAATGTGAAAATGCTTTTAAAAAGAAAACATCAAATTATAACTGTATGGAAAGTTAAAGACAAACAAATGTGTACCAGTTATTTTCAAGACTAATAGGATGTTTCCCTAGCTGGAGAGTAGGACCGAGAAATCTCTACCAGAGGAGGAGATTCTCGATTGTCTTAAGCCTCCGGTAACAATGTCAGGAATCTCCTCCAAGGGTACAGATCTCTCTGTCCTACCCTCAAAGTAGGGTA